GTGTGTGTGTGTGTGTGTGTGTGTGTGTGTGTGTGTGTGTGTGTGTGTGTGTGTGTGTGTGTGTGTGTGTGTGCAGGTGGTTCCTGTGAGTCTAGCAGAGGTTTACCTGCTGCAGCTCAACATGCGCTTTCCCACCCAGTCGTCCTTCCAGAGAGTTCTACCTTTACTCAACGTTACTGTGGCATCGCTGCACCCGCTGACTGACCAGCAGGTAAAGGCTCAGTCGCAGTAGAGTAAAAACAGGACAGCAGCTTCCTTGCAACTAGGAAAAATCAGTAATTGACTGCAGGTAGTACATTTATCATAGTTATTCGTTTTAGCATCACAAAAATATTGCATATAATTGCTGACTTGACGCCAATCAGTTGTAGACTGATTCTGTCTTATTGCTGTTATTCTACCATCTTGACACAGCAAAGTTGTTTTAAGGATGGCAGCTGACTGAGCTGAGCTGACTGGCCTGGTCACCGTCTCAAAACAACCATTTCAAAGGCAACAAGTTTGTAGTAATTTAGTAATTTGTGGGCTGTGGTCCCCAGTGTGATTGTAGCATTGCACACCAGCATTTTCACGTTGGTAAACTTTATGTAGTATACTGTGGACTCGGAACATGATGAGTTTACTGGAAGTAACGTTTGTAACACTACTGAATTTTGTGAGCACACATACACAAGATACTTTTTTCTTCAGTGAAGATGACTGTTTAACAAATATACACACCGAATAACTCTAGTGAGCATTAACAATACTGACAACATATTCTTCCCCCGCTGGCTCAAAATTGATTGTTGGTCCCTCCTTCAGGGAACTGTACAATGTTCCTCTGTCATCTTTATCACCGTTTGTGGTGGGGCGTGGTCTGCGGTGTTGTGCAGGGAGGGCGGACGCACCTGCACGGCATCCTTCATCACGCCCGTCTACTTATAAACACGGGGACTCAGGGGTTGGTGTGTTGTGGTGTGAATATTGAATAAAATGGCTCAAACCTATGATCCCTGGACCCGCCGTGTCTCATTCACACCACATCGTTATAATTAGACCATGATATTACTCACAGAGCCATATTTGATATTGCAAATAGATTTAAGCCCTCAAAGTAATGACTTGAAATGCATCGATTGTGTGTATAATTGTGTCACCTTGTAAGAACCGTCCTTTGAAATCAGTGACGCTATCAGGATATTTTTTTATGAACAAATATCATCAAACTTCCTGATGTGCCTGTCAGACTCAGCTGTGCTTCAGTTAGTGCTAGCATGCTAATAGTTGCTAACAGTGGATACAATACTGTCAATGCACAGCTGTTTGAGGTGGTAAATGCGGGCACCCTGGCCGGAGGTTCGCTGGAGTGGGCGGAGTTCTCACAGCGCCTGGAGCAGCTCTCCTCGTTCCTTTTGCGGCGCAGCGACGGCAGTCGGATGCTAAACCACACCTCCTTCAGGGAGTGGCTCATGTGGAGGGAGGAGGGCCAGGATGACCGGTTCCTCTGCGATCCCAGGTATAGTCAGAGGGCATGAGTGACAAATGGAGAGAGAAGAAAACAGGGACAGATGTTTCTCACTGAGCTGTGTGTCTCTGTTTCCAGGAGTGGCCACACTCTCCTGTCCTTCTGGCTCTGCAGACAGGCAGGAAAGCTGACCCGACAGCAGACACTGGAGCTCGGGCATCACATCCTGAAGGCGCACATCTACAAGGCGAGCTCTCACACACAAAGTTAGACACGCATACGCAGATACATGGGGCTGGAAACCACACCAGTAGATTTTTTTTACAGATCACAAACCAATGAGATGCCACTGTTTTATGTCTAACTATTGGTTTCTGTCGCATTTGTTCTCCTCATCCAGGGCCTGAGTAGGAAGCTAGGGGTTTCCTCCTCAGTTCTGCAAGGGCTGTGGCTGTCATACAGCACCCAGAGCCTGAGCCCTGTTCTTGCGTCACTGCGCAACCTCTACACCCCCAATATCAAGGTAACAATGCATACTCACACACACACACGAGTGTATTTCCCACCACAGTTCTGCTGTAACTTTCCTCTTTTCCTTTTGCAGGTGAGCAGATTGCTGATTATGGCCGGGGCTGATGTGGATTACTGTAGCGATGTCCTGAACAACGCCCCCCTGCTGTGTGTCCACGCTCACCTGGGCCACACTGATGCTGTAGCACTGCTGCTTGATCATGGAGCACAGGTAAGGAAAAAGAAAAGGCCGTGGAGCTTTTTAAACATCATGTGAGTTCACAGAGACGCGTCATTGGGTGTTAACAAGAGCAGATTTACTCCAACCACAATTCCACCTTCAATTTTTAGCTGGATGCTTGGTCACATGACGGTTTGACTGCACTGGGATTCGCTGCTGCAGCTGGTCACCTGGATATCGTCACAATGCTGAGTCAGCACAGAGCCAAGGTAGCTACCAGTTCTACTCCACATGTGCAGTTTGGTGTCAGACAGATGTTTGCAGCTAATGTAAAGAATGACAACAGCAGGATTTTCACAGGCTTCCGTGCAGTACATCCCATAATTCAGTAGCTTGTAGATCCACCATTTGCTGAAAAAGTAATAGTTTTCTGTCCCTCGCGTTGTTCCAAGGTAATTGTGCACAAAAAAATATCACCGTGGTATGCAAGGGGCCAACCTTATACATACAGTGAAATATGTTAAATAAGGAAAATTGAGATTGTTGCAGTTCAGTTGCTCTTTTTCTTTTGATTCTTGGTCTCATAACCTTTTCTGATAGTCAGTGGCATCACTGCAATTTAACCTAGAAAGAGTCCCAACCCTGTTTTTGAGTGTCTGTCTCCCCTTGGGTGCAGGTGGGTCACGTGGACGGCTCCGGTCGGTGCGTGCTGGTTCACGCAGCCCAGCGAGGCCACCTCGAGGTGCTGCGCTTTCTCCTAAAGAGGGCGGAGTGGAGTTGTACTACCTGCTGTGGACAGAAGGGGGCAAGCAGGAGCCAAGCAGTGCAGCAGGCTTTGATTGCTGCAGCCAGCATGGGACACACAGAGGTGATACAAACACACACACACACACACATACACACCTTTAATGTATAACACTGTGTGGTACAGAATATACAATCACATAGTCGGGTGTGTGTGTGTGTGTGTGTGTGTGTGTGTAGATGGTGTCATACCTATTGGACCTTCCAGAGGAAGATGAAGAAGGGGAGGAGAGACCTGAGATCAACACATATGACAGTCTATGGGGAGAGACAGGTAATGACCATGTAACTACTATTGTGTAACTACTTTGTCACGGCAGGCTTGTTTTTCTGTCAACCAGATCAGTGTGATAAATTCACGTGGAACATGGTGGGAAACAATGTTTTCATAAACATGCTTTGGTTTGCTTAAAAGGTCATTTACAATAACGGATGATGTAGCAGATCATTTTCCCACCACAACCTCATAATTAATGAGAGGCAAACAGGAGACAACATGACTGATCACTATACTTTACATTAGTAGCATCTAGTGGACGAAAGTGTTCACTTCAGGAAAAACAGAAAAAATAAGTATTTGGACTCTTCTACATGTTTGGTTCCTCTGGCCAAGATTATTATATTTATATTATATAAGAGCAAAAAACCAACACAATAAAATAAGTCTTTGAAAGATATAATTAAAATGAGACAAACAATAAATAAATAAAAATAAAAACATACAGTAAATGTGAAAAACAAGCTGATACAATAACGACTATACTGAAACAATAAAAACTGAATGGAAACGAGCAAATACACAATAGAAAACTATACTGAAAACAAAAGGTTCTCCTAAGAAATACAGAAGTTTTATTTATGTAGTCATCTCGAGGTCCTTTATGTTGTAAGATAAAGACCCTAAAGTAGTAGAGTGAAAATCCCAACATCAGACGTCCCCTCGGTGAGAAAGCGCTTGGTGACAGTGGGAAGGAAAAACCTCCAGCAGAGCCAGGATCAGACCTGGGTGATTCTGTCTCATTGCAAACTTTTCTTACCAAAGCTCAGACGTGGATTCATTTAATATCCGTCGTGTCATTTCAAAATAAACTCTGGCTTCTATATTTAATGTTTGTTCTCTAACACCTACCGCAGCTTTATATGCCATATGTTCAGTTACAGAGCTGAAGTTTGTAATCGTCTGGTTTCCCTTGTCTCACTCTGTGTGTTTGCGTCAGCTCTGACAGCAGCAGCAGGATGTGGCTGTCTGTCTGTCTGCAGGCTCTTGTTGGATCAGGGGGCAGCTGTGGAGCAAGGAAACAAGCAGGGTGTCACTCCACTTTTCAGCGCCGTGAGACGAGGTCACTGGCAGGTATGGTGGAACCAGAAAGCAAACAGGCACATGATCACGCGATACCTGCAGCAGATAACTGCAGTCTTCCTCCTCATGCATCCTTCGGCCAGGTGGTGGAGTTGTTTCTGAATCAGGGGGTGGAGGTGAACATGGTGGACCAGCAGGGGCGAACATCTCTGATGACTGCAGCCTCAGAGGGACACATGAGCACTGCCCAGCTGCTGCTGGATCATGGTAATCACACACTGCACTCTGCAGCCAGAAAAACAGCAAGAGTTGCTGCAGCAATGCAATTAAAACAGCAGTCTCATTGTTTATGTCCAACTTCAGTTCAGTCAGAAAGTATTTTTTACTTTTTCTTTTATCAGGAGATTCCGATGTTAAAAAACCCTTGAAAACGAGATTGGTCCTAATCAATAATACTTTAACTACAAACGCTAATCTCAGAGGACAGCTGTGATACTGTACAGTATTCTCAGTGTGTACACTGCTGTAAAAACGTGTTTTCCTCTTTCCTGACACTGACAAAAAAGTAGAAGAAATATGAAATGAATCTGTTGTCTTCGTGATCAAACACTCCACTGTAGGAATTGACAGTTTTAACAGAAATGGCATGTGTGCTGAGACTAGTGAGGCCATGTTTGTAGCCATTATTTATAAGGTCGTCCTTAGAGCCCCCATTCTAATCACTCTGACCCTGACAATAGCTCCGACCCTAATGAATCTCTCTGTTTCCAGGAGCCTCCCTCGAACAGACCGACAGAGAAGGGCTAACGGCACTGAGCTGGGCGTGTCTAAAAGGCCAGCTCTCATTGGTCAGAGAGCTTGTGGAGAGAGGAGCAGCCACAACTCATGCAGACCGCAATGGACGCACGCCTCTGGATCTGGCTGCATTCTGCGGAGACCCAGATGTGGTGTGTACAGCCAGAGTAACCATGATTGTGTTAGTTAATTTAGAACAGTTACCTGTCCTACCTGTTCTGCAGCCGCTGCAGAGGGCAATGTAATGTAGCCGGAGGAGAATTTATAAAAGTGGTGAAAAATGTCGCTTTGATCCGTGCCCAGGTGCAGTACCTTGTGGATCACGGTGCGTCAGTGGAGCATGTGGACTGCAGCGGGATGCGCCCTCTGGATCGAGCAGTCGGCTGCAGAAACACTTCTGCAGTCATCGCTCTACTGAAAAAGGGAGCCAAAATAGGTAGAAGCATGAAGCATGTTCAGTTTAACAGCAAGAATTAAACCATGGATGTTGTAGTTATGCAGTAAGCATCTTCACTGCTGCATGGCCAGACTCCCATATAGTTCATTTCCATTAGCAATACATCACCCTGCAGAATGAACCTTCATGAATTCTAAATCATCCTTCATATATCCCTAAACTAAACTTGCGTGTGTGTGTGTGTGTGTGTGTGTGTGTGTGTGTGTGTGTGTGTGTGTGTGTGTGTGTAGGACCTGCAACCTGGGCCATGGCGACCTCTAAGCCAGATATCTTAATGGTTCTGCTCAGTAAATTGATCCAAGAAGGAGATAAATTGTACAAGGTAGCGCACATTTCCATCTTGATGAGATTTGATTTGATTGACTCGATGTCGATTTAATTCGATATTCCAAAGTTCTTTCTGAAAGAGTTTCTTTTTTTTTCTTTCCAGCAAGGTAAAGTGAGGGAAGCCGCTCACTCCTATCAGTCAGCTCTCCAGAAGTTTCCAGGAGACGAGCTGAAGACGTTCAAACAGCTCAGGGTGTGCGTGCTGCTCAACCTGTCACGCTGCCGCCGCAAGATGAACGTGAGGCTTTTTCTTACACACACACATGTTGAGAATATTTTGCTTATTATTTTGAAACAAATCTCATCTCGAAAACTTTATTTCAGTATTGATATATCGTTAATCTTCCTTACAGGACTTCAGCCTTGCTGAGGAGTTTGCTACCAAGGCCCTGGAGCTAAAAGCCAAATCTTATGAAGCTTTTTATGCCAGAGCCCGTGCCAAACGCAGCCGCAGGTAAACAGTGTCGTGAGAAATTGAATAAAACTAACTGATCGTCATCTTCTGAGAGTTTGGGTTCTTTGGATCTTCAGTAGTAGAACTGTGATGATTTTATTGTTTGACATTTTTAAACTATTTGAAACTTAGACACGAGATTGCAGTGAGAAAGAGTTGAGTAGTTTTAGGCTCACTACCATGTAAAGAAAACCTGAGAGATAGAGTGACCTGAACTGTAAGAAAAAGAAGACATATGTGCTTTTAACTTGGCGGGGTGTTGTCAGTTTCCAGTTACCTCCATGCTAAGGCTCTACACAGTTTGCTAAGGCCTCAGTTACACAGGCCCAGAGACCAGCTGGCAATCCCCTGTTAACCTCCAATCAATAGGAAAGCAAAAAGGGTGCTGGACCAAAAACCATCTTGTGATTGCTTTCATTGCTAGAAGATTACTGCGGTCACTCATAGTTTGCATAGAAGATGCCAGCTTGTCTGCACTCAGTCACTAACTAACCACCATGTAGTGGTGAAGCATAAAAAAAGTACAGCACAAACCAGAAACGGAGACCATTTCCCTTCAAAGTAAAAGTATTCCACTCTGTGACCACATGCAACTTCCTGCAACCGCTTGCCAACCAGACACACTTTCCACTAGTGACGAGTGGTTACCGTGGGGTCACTGACTGGCACCGTTCACCAGAGAGTAAAGACCTAAAGCTTTGACCTAGCATTGCTTTACAGTCACAGTGACTGAAGGCATAGATGTCAGATGGAGGGACACATTTTTAAGCCTGTTTTTTCTTTGTGAATGTGATTGCAGCAAATTTCAGGTAACCAGACATCGAAAGATTGGAACAGACCTTCTAAACACTGACAATATGAAACCTATAATTCCGGAAACATTCTGATATACACATTCTCTGTCATCTTCTGAAGTTTGTCCTGTTTTCACTCCTTGTCACTATCACAACCCAGACAATTCCACGCTGCTTTGGAGGACCTGATTGAAGCCAGCCGTTTGTGCCCATCCAACCGGGAGATTCAGCGCCTGCTGTCACGGGTCAAAGAAGAGTGTCGGCAGGCTGCACAGCAAAAGGACACTCATCCTCCATCATCTAATCACGTCTATCAGCAGAACATGTCCATCAGCGAGGCCAGGTCTAGAGATTCAGGTTGTTTGCAGGTACAGGATAGAGAGGGGCTTACAGAGGAAGAGGAGGAAGAGGAGAAAGCAGAGAGCAGTTTCAGGGAAAGAGACTCCTCTCCCTGTCACCTTCAACCTGCGGTTCAAAGTCTTGACACCCGCTGCCACTCTGGGGTACCATCGCCCTCCTCCCTTTCCCCCACTCATCTGTATCATCACCTCCCCAGTCCCACCCACGCAACCTCCCTTTCTTCACCTAGTCACTCTGCACCTCCCCCTCCTTCCACATCTTATCACGATTTCAGCCCTACTTCCTCCCTAATCCAGCATCAGCAGCGAGGTGGCATAGTGTCTGAAAGTATGCCTACATTGTCCGAAAGTGGAGGTGTACAAAACTATCCACAGTCTGACTTAGATCAGAACCAGGGAGTCCAGCGTCACCCCCATCTGGCTGGTCAGAGGTTCCAGAAGCAGAACCCCGTCCAAGGCCACTGGCTCCAACCAGCCAAAGCACAGGTGGTCCGAACCAATCAGCCCAGTTCTTCTACCCACTCCAGCATGGTTTTGGGAAGTTCTGCATATTCCCAGTTCGCCCATCTGCCCAAAGAACTAGCAGAGCTTGGGGAAGGCTTTTGCTCAAATCCTATGGATGTCAGGCCTAGCCCATTGGCTCAGCCTGGTCTGAGCTCTGGAGCTTCTTATGTACAGGATGAAGAAGAAGAAGTTGACCTGGTTAGCCAGGCCAGAGGCACATCTGGCTATGGGAAAGCAGCAGGAGCCGAGTGGGCGGGGGTAAACCGTTTTGGCCAGTCCCGTCAGTTCAGCCGTAACCAATCCAAAGCAGCCTACTACCCTTTGGAAGTTACAGAGGCAGCAATGGGGTCTTCAGATAGGCTTCAGTCATCGCACGATTATCAGTATCAACACCAGGGTGGTCTTCGACGTCCACTCAGTGCTCACCCAACCTCCTCCTCTGGTCATTCCCCTAGGCCTCTCATCCATTCCCAGAGTGTCAGCGTCCGTTTCTCCCCCAGCAGTGGTAGTCTTGCTACTGGACAGCCAGCTAATCTTGGGCCAGGCTTTAGGACATCGGCCTCTGTTCAGCACATGGATCTACCTTCAGATCTGGCCTCTGCTAGAAGCATTAGTGGTTACCATGATGATAACTTCCTGATCGCCTCTCCCCAGTCTGAAATATGCATGTCAGGAGGCGGGACTTACCCTGGAGAGGTGGGACGTTCATCTAGGAACACTCCTTTTATGGGAGTAATCGACAAGACGGCAAGGGTGCACCAGCAGTATCAGCAACAGGCTCCGTCCAGCTCAGCGTCCTGTCTCAGTCCGTCTCGCTCCTGGGCCGTGTCTTCAGTGGACACAGTTGTCACTTCGCCCAGCAAAAACCCCCCTCCACCCCAGCTCTCATCCTTTGCCTACCACAACCGCAGCAACAACAATGCCCACAATGGTCACGCCTCTTATGATAACCAGCTGGACTTCTATGACGTGACGCCAGGAAATGTTCACCAGGGTGAGGGCTCAGTGCAGGTTGCCTGTCAGAATCTCTCCTACATGGATGTGAAGGTGGCTCGGACGCTGCCCATGATCCACAGCTGCTCGGACAGACCGACTGAGAGACGTACGGGTCCTACGTCTCCGGTTAAACCAAAAAGACCCTTTGTAGAGTCCAATGTGTAAAGACAATACAAGAACATTAATGAAAAGTGGTATAAATGAAGTCACTGTACCGATATACTGGAAGACTGTTCTTGAAACAAAGTAATGTCAAGTTCCTACATTTAGTACTTGGAATGTTTATAAGAGCAAGACACACCAAGTTCAGACTGGGTAAAAGCTTTTGTTTTCATTTGGTTGTATTTGTTAGTATGCTTCAGAGAACTCCACCTCACTTGCTAGGTTAAGTGATTGCTCTATGTTGTTTTTGGAAAGAGTGCCACTTCATCTTAGGCATACTGACTCCTTCATGGTGAAGATGCCTAACCTATAAGAACGGCATGGAACATATTCACCAATAATGAACTGGTTCTGCCATTTGGAAGTGAAACATTAACAGGTGTTCACCTCACAAAGCACAAGAACGAAGAAGATAATTATGGAATAAGACTGTATTCTTCTTCTTGCACAATTCTGGCTTGAATTACATTTTAAAACTGCAGTTCAAGTCTAAATGGTGACGTCCAGACAGGAGAGAAAAAGCACCGCAATTACCTTTGCCTGCTGCCGACGCCTTTAATAAAGATCTCATTTCAAGATTGAAGCGCTTAAATAACACAGACTTGAAAGAAATGGACGAATCCAGGCTCGCGTCATTGTACCAGTCAAACGCTTGTTAGTGACCCAGACCCAAGCCATAGTTTGAGAAACTCGAAAATACTGTCATTGAATAAACACTGAGTTTAAAAAAAAAAGGAGAAAAAATTGTATTTATCTTTTTAAGTTATGTCTGTATTAAACTGTAAAGTTTCTTTTTGTTTTTTCTTAAAACGGTATTCCTTTGGGATTTGCCATCGTGTTTATTTTGGGGGATCGTCTGTGAGAACACGTAAACTGAAACTTTAGAGTTTTAGTTTACATGAAGCAGAAACTCTAAAGATGTTGGGTTAACATTGGTCTCTTTCTGGGTTCAATTAGAACGATATAGCGCATTTGTAAAAATTGGATTTTTTGGAAGGGTCATCCATTCAGCCTTTTTCTGTGCTCTCTGAAGGCCTTTTATATTCTGTAGTCCTAATGGTCTAATTATGCAAACCATATGATTCCAAGTGATACACCAGGGCTCTTCATACTGTATTATGTTGGAAACATTTTGCTTGTATGTGCCTCGGTTGTCAGTACTGTCAGTCACTCTCACTCTGACCATTAACTTGGCTTGACATGTCATTTCTGGATATTTGTCCTCAACAATGTGCATTTGAACTCTTTGGATGGTGTTGTATGTTTTTCTTGCCTTTCCAAAGATAACTGTGTAAAATCCCAATGAAACAATCTATTTATCTGTGCGAAACCAGCTTAATTTATGACCATGCCAAGCTAACTATCTTACCACCAACAGCAGCCACAGAGCCTTACCAATGAGGCCCAAAAATGTACCATTATTCAACTACATTCATTTACTGTATTGAGGTTTGTTTGTTTTTCAAAAACTAAAGTTCAGTTCACTCTTTTCATCTTATCATCCACTGTGTATTTCACAGTCAGATCAGAATCTTAGCCTCACAAACATTAGCATACGTAGCCGTGTGTTTACTTACTCTTCAGATGGTTCCTCCAACTTTGGTGTGTTTCTGTGCTTGTTATAAACGCCTGCGCTCAGAAAAAGTTTAAAATCTTCAAACAAAATGTGAAGAAACAACTTCTCCAAAACATGTACATTGTACTGTGTTGGAGTAACACCATCTTAAGTTGTACTAGAGCCAGGCAGGACTTTTCATGTGAAATCGGTTTGTACCATGAGCTGGTGCAGTGAATCAATATAACCTTTATTTAATAATGTTCTTATTTATAGTGCTGTTCTGGGAAAAGGCAAATTCTCTTGAGGCAACAAGGGCAGAAATAAAAAGAGACAAGAAAAGTTTTTTAAAAGTGGTGAAAGTTTTTGTTAGAATTTGCAAAGTATAATTAAAAAAAGGAAGTTTAGGTCAGAACATAGACCTAAATTTGGATGTTAAATAGGAAAAAAACTGTCGTAATCAAAGATGATAATTAAAATGTTTGTCTGCAACAAATGATTTTAAGTCAATAATCAAAAGTCTTATTATATAACAAACATTTATAGTTGTCGACAGTGTTTCTGCTTATGTGATATCAAAGACTAGGCGTCAGTAACAGTAACTGTGACATCAAAAAAAGTTTTCCTTATTGTGCCACGTTACTGGGTTTTAAAAGTCGTTACTTTGAATGGAAAATGCGTTTTTCTTATCGTACCTTAGATGCTAGGGCTAACAAACATCTGCTGCAATACAGAAATTACACTGTTTCTTTTTTGCGTTTCCCAAAGCGATCACCATCTACTTGGGATTTTGAATGTTACCAATTTTTAGCACGCTATCGTTTATGAATCCATCAAGCACATGCTTATTTATGTCTTTACAAGGTTTTCCTTTCAAACCAGTAGTTTGCCTAGCTTGCTAAAACAGACAACATATTTATGGCAAAAGACACGGTTTACTGCTCAAAATGCTTTTGTCTATGTCAGCAAGGAATGATTTAACTTTTCCATCTTAACCTTGTTAACGACAAGGGGAGGTGGCTAGCTGAATATTTAAAAGAGGGACAAGTTTCACTTTAATCATATATTAAGATCAGGCTTCTTTAAAAATGTCTTTTATAAACATGAATGCCAGTTTTTGTACATTTGTAGTGCTTTTTTCCCCCCAAACTTCTCACTTTCAGTTGCTGTTGCTGATGAAACAAGTGATGTCTGACACAGCACACACAGTACAGTCTCTGACCACTGCCATCATCTCGTACTGCTCAGGGGACTGCAGCTGTGAGATGATATTAGCAATTTGATGTTCAAAGTGAAAACGTGGAAAATCTGTTAGCAAAACTGTGCGTTGTGCATCACATGTAGGATGTTTACCTTCTGTCTGCATTGGTGCCTGACTGTGAAATATCCCGTCAGAACAGAGCCAAGTCAGTGTGTACTTTGGGCTCTTTCACAGTGTGTAAGATGAGCTTACATTTAAAACCAAGGATGGTGACGAGAAGAGCTTCATTATCAAACATTTCAAGCAACATGAATGTGTTTTTGGCTCATGTGGAATCACTGAGTTAGAAAGAGGAATAAAGCTGAATAAAAGACTGAACTGTAAGTCTGTCTCTCATTGTGTGACCCAACAAGGAAAAGCTTTTTTGGGTATAATCTTACATTAGAACAAGATTGTTCTTCTTGTTGTGTTGATCTTATATGCAGTGCTCTTACAATAACTGATTGTTTTTTGGCCACTTGGGGGCAGCAGAAGCAATCTAAATAGAATCTTGATTTTAACATAAAGCACCAGTTATCGGGCCTTTTATGATTGCTTTGTAAGAATGAGCCAGACTGCTCCTTCGGCCATCCTAAACTTTTTGCTGTGGAAAACTTTAGGAGTGGCAACGCAGCTCTCAGGGTAAACTACAGATCTTTTATCTGTTTAACCTTTCAGGAAATAAAGCGGGAACAGACCTGAACTGGCCATCAAACTGCTTTTCAGTTACATTTGAGCGTTAGAAAATGTAAACCCTGAACAGTTAACGTGATCCCCACTTAGATTATTACTGAATGTCTGCACTTCAATGACATCTTGCCTGTGTGATTTAAAATCCACTATGTTGGTGTACAAAGACAAAACGACAAAACTGGTGCAGCTTAATGCACATAAAGGTGACGTGAACAGCTTGTTACGTACAGTAAAAATGTTTGTTTTAGAATGTTCATTTTAAAACAATCTACAATTCAAATATGTTTTCTTGCTGCTTTCACATCCAATGTGTAAAATCTGGGGAAAATAATTTCAAACACTTTATTTCAGGTTGTCCTGATAAGATCGGGACTTCCTGTGAACAACGACACTGTCACAACTTACAGAAAAATGAACAACCTCCACCAAGCTCTCTCTGAGGCACAAAGACTGAAGTCCGAGTCGAAGGCGAGCAAAACAAAAAGTAGATTTAAAACATACATGTAGGTATTTGAATACACACAACAGGTTATTGAAGCATTTAAACAGGAACAGTTAATGATAGGATTCGGTCAGAAAACAGGACTTTATGGTACTGCAGGTCACGAAGACGGAGCAACAGCAGAGGAAATTTTATCATACAACCAATTCACACCACCTTTGATGCCACATATTGACCCCAAAATGAACGTGGACCTGTGGCTCTTTAGTTACACAGAGAGGAACATGAGGGGAACTCAACCAATGTTCACAGACAGAAAAGCAGCACGGAGAGTAGACAGCAGCTGCCGAGAACAGTTTTTGAACACGTGGTTCTCCAGCAGAGCACAGAGTCTATTCTACAGACTACCAGGGCACCACCATGCTCCACCTTGCTCCACCCTGCTCACAGAAAGGCTACGTTTGCAGGATTTGTACAATTGTTCTGAGGGTAGTGTAGCTTCTTTTTGAGCGTCAAAGTAGAAATTTGTGTTTGTGGTTTCTTTTTTTAGTCAAATTTAATTCCACTGATAAGGTGCCAGATTTACTAAAAAGGATAGCATCAGCACAATCACCAAATAACGCCCATGGCAGCCATCTGCTGTGACTTTCTGGAAGGTACAACTTGAATCTTCTCACACCGCTGTCAGTCTGAGGGTTAAGACCTGGTTTTAGGGTTATGTTAGGCGTGAGATTTACTGTAGTTAATACGGTTAAAATTGGGGGTGAGACACTGGGAGTGCATTAATGTCAATAACTGTCCTCACAAAGCCGACACAGAGCAGAGCTGAGGAGGAAAGGACGGGAGAGGAGAACACTGCAGCTACTCGGGTCGGCTGATGCTACATCTTTAATATAGTTAAGACACAATGATAAAACACAAGTGAAGGAATCCAAGACACATTTAAGCAAAACGAGAATCGCAACCTAACCATGAACACTGCACAACAGGAAACAATAAAATATAAACTGCGCCCTTCAACTACACAAACATGACGCTCCATATCACAATGTGTAGTGAAACAGTACATTTTTAACTATGTTTGTATAAATGTTTTTCATGACAAAGCTGACAGAGCTGGTTGGTATAATAACATGAGAAGGACAGTTATTACAGATTTCTGTTCTTACTTCACTGAACCTAAAGCTGAACTCATTTTCTGACAGGTATGCAGGTACTAACAGAGACTGGTAGCACAGGTGGTCTGTTGGCTCTGTAGATGTAGATCACAGAGAGGCGTCAGGCTTCAGAGTGAGATTAAGGCGTGGTTGGTGATCCCCCGTCAGTCAGTGTCTTGAAATGGACGGACAGAGCTTCTTCCTCTGGGTTTGGTGGGCGTCTGTACTCCTCCCTCGTCATCAGGTGTCCCAGCACCAATCCAAAGCACACCAACAGGATACCCAAGACGTTGGCCAGCACTCCCTCTGGGGTGAACTTAGAGTAGGTCGGCCTGGCCCCAAGGAAGCAAGGGGACATCATAAGTGGGTAAGGGCATAGTAAAATTTAAGGTTAGTTGAGATAAATCAGGAGCAGATGGTGGTTATTGAGGATTTGCAGACATGTGACCACAAACCATGTGATGTTAACTTGTCTGACATTCTGCACTTGTGACATTGTGGGATCAATGAATGTAGGTCACTCAGTGACCATCTCGCAACCAGCAGTTGTGAGGGAAAATTTAGTACTCCCCGACTTTACTGCGAGTGGTTGGTGGAGTTTGCTGGGAAATGATTGCTTAAGGATCACACAGACCTACAGACTGGTCAGTGATCAACCTGGCAACCACGTGTCACCAGGGAAAAACTTATTCCGGTTGGCAATGACCTTCTTCCGATTGCTTTGGTCACTATCATATTGCTGTGTTTGTAGTTTGAATGGAAATGACAAACTTGCATTTTGGAAAGTTTTGCTACCTCTTAGCATGTCATTAGCAAGTATTTACAGACAACGATTTTAAAAAATTGCTCACAACCTCAGCAGCCTGCTAGGAGGTCTTTGGTGTAGCGCCTTCTTTGCAACCAATTTCATGCAGCCAACAACCTCCAGGAACCACTACACATTTTCCTTAGCAACTGGTGATTGTACCATGTCCACCATGGTAGGCAACAAGAGCAGTGTGGTGGATTTCTTTTTATCAGAGCCATCTGACTTCTGAGATCCAAGCTGTAATCAGCGATGACCCTAACTAAAAAGGCCTTTACGCACCAGACTCGTAATATCTGATATGAAGCCATAAAAACCGGCCATGTTATTTTCCCTAGACAAATGTCCAGCTTTATATTTTCAGATCAAACCACTGGTGCTGAATATACAATAATGTGGAAATAGTCAAATAAATGTAGTTACTTAAGCAAGAAATGATTTCAAAAAGAAATGACAAAAACACAACGACCTTCACAAGCCACTCGTGTGATGTCATACTGTCTGTGGTTTATGCCTAAAAAACATCACTAATGAAATGAAGAGGAGACGAGGGGGCAGATACTCGAGTACAGACATACATGATGTTGAAGAGGAGTGTCTCCGTGATGCCCAGCAGGCTGGTCCCTACGGACATTACCAGCAGAGCCAGGCCACAGAACACGTGGACAGGCAAGTATGAGGCTCGTAACCATGCCGACGCAACAGGAAACAGGAAGAACATCAAACCCATCACCCACTGGCAAAAATGGAGGGATAAAAAGTTTAGTGTTGTAATGTGTTACATTTGCTGCAGAGATTCAGTCTGTGTGTGTGTACCTGTAAGCAGAACAGGATTAGGGTAGTCATACCGCACCAGCTGTGTAGAGAGTACATGTCAGGAATCTTGGCTGCCCTGTGGTAGTCAAACACAGCCACAAAACCTGCACGCACGCATAGAGCAACATGTCAGACGGACACACACATGGTTATTTAAAAAAAAAAAAAACATCTGCAGCAGTCAGACGCCGGCTGATGTAGCTTCCTTACCTACAATACTCATGATGAGAGCGAGCAGGTGAATAATGCCGTGAAGCAGCTTTACGTTCTTCTTCGGCTCCTTGTGAAACACTCTGTAGACCAGGATGGCTGGAGAGGCAGACAGACAGAGACATGGAGACAGAGGGAAGACTATAGAATCCATTAAGTGCATTTAACACTGATCAAACATTACACACATGCTGTTTGTTCTTTTTAGACTTTTGTTTTTTCATCCAATGCAGTCTGAAACAGCAAAACATGATTTATACTCATATTTCATAACCTCAGGGTCGGTGGTTCCAACTATCCTTGGGCCTACTGGTGGTGGTCAGAGGGCCCGGTGGCGCCAGTGTCCGGCAGCCTCGCCTCTGTCAGTGCGCCCCAGGGCAGCTGTGGCTACAATGTAGCTGCCATCACCTGTGTGGACCCATTGTCCATCATTTTTAAAGGTGCCTGGCAGAATGTGACACGTTACTAATGGATGAAGATGTCTGCAATCAGTCTTTAACACGGTGCACGCCTGTAAGCTGTTTGCATCGACCACTGGGCAACAAAATTAGAAAACCATGTAAAGTATGGAAGGAATCACAATTAAAAAGAAACAATTGTTGTTTTGAGGTCTATCTTTACTTTGCTAGAAACATAACCTGTATTTTATTCAGAATTCAAGGCAACACAACTAAACAGCATGATTGTGTGTCACTTCCTGCAGTGACACCATTATTGGAGCTAACATTTGATTTTCTATAAAATAAAGCAATTACAGATTCCTTCCTTCATTCCTTCTATCCAGGTCACAGTGGGGCTGGAGCTTCTCTCAATGGTTATGGCTCCAGAGGCAGAGTACACCCAAAACAAACTGCCAGCCTGTTCCAGGGTACCAGATACAGACAGACAATCTGTCAAGCTCACAGCCACACACTAATTTTGAATGAACAATCACACGACCCCCTATAAGCAAGCATTTGGCAACAGTGGGAAGGAAAAACTCCTTTTTAACAGGAAGAAACCTCCAGCAGAACCAGAGTCAGGACGGTCCAGCTGGAAGTGAGGGGACACTGTGGTAAAAGGTCAGCATTAATACTGTGCAGCAACTGAGCCTCCAGCTCTACCACACACACTCTCTAATTGTTCTCAGCATAAATCCTTCATTCACCCACCTGAGCCAACAGCTTTGTTTAATTTCCACTTCACAGCGTCACAGAGATTTAAGCCACCTCATGGGGGTGCAAGATACTCAAAAGAACCCAATATTAAAGGCGAAGGAGGGGGGCATGAGCTGAAGTGTAACAGCATTAGTGTGGACATGTGTTTGTTTCTGTGTGAGGAACACCCCCAGGAGGTTTCCATTTCACATCAAGATCCTTCCTCAATCTCATTCTAATGTCCAGTTAACCTTTGTTTTTATTGCTCTAATGCAATCTAGCACTGAACCAGTTGAGCTAATGTGGTTACTCTCATTAGAACGGTACCCAGGGCTGCGGACACAAAGCAAAGTCTGCTGCAGCATGAGCAGGTGGCAGCAATACGTCAAAAACAGTGACGGTGTGTCCAAAACAAATCAAGTTGAGCTGGATGACTGACGGCACCATCAAAAGGGAAAATCTGCATTAAAAAGAAACTGAACACGGGAATTGGAAAGAAGGGCCTAACCAAGCTGCTATATAGTGTCATTTAGAAACAATGAATGAATGAATACATTTAGACGTATTAATGGCTTGTGTGGCACAGTAATTGCTGGTGGGCAGTCTCTCCACATCCTGTCCACATACCAAGCGTCTGGATCAAATGAACATGTGACATCTGAAGTTCAAGTCAGATTTGACAAAATTCCTACAATTTTTATGCTGTTTAAGTATTTTGCTCACCTCACAAAACATTTGTGTGTGACAGAGCAACTTCACCTCAGCTGTCATTTGCACTTCCTTTAATCTGGCTGCGTGGATGTGTATGTCGTGTGGGCGTGTCATCCAGCTGTCTTAATGTGTGGGGTCAAGTGTGTTCTGCATTTTTCACTGTTGTAACGTTGTATTGTGGTGATCTGAGTTCCGTCTTGAATGATGTTCATCGTGCTGTTGCAGAGTGACTAAGACTAAAGCCACATGAAGACTACATACAAAAGCATGCAGTGCTGTGCAGACATCTTAAGCCACTCTTCATTTTCTTATATTTTCCGTTTTCAGCAGTCAGACTTTCATTATGTTTTTCTTAAGTGTTCTTGAGCAGAAACTCTTCCAGCTTTCTGAAGGTCTTACATTGACTGCATTTTCACCCATTTTCAGTCCAGTCCTTGTACCTGACCGTTTGAAGAGGAATGTTTTTTTGTTTTTTTGAGCCACTCAACACTGGCCTAAAAAAAAAATCAACAATACAGTGTGACAGATATAGAATAATGTTCCTGCACCAACAAGGTGATTTCCCGAGTTACTAGCAGTAACCCAAGTTTCTGGCAATCCGTCCAAGGATTTCTTTTTGACACCCAATGGCCGTCAGGATGGTGTCGACTAGCCTGTAGAGGTCAGTGTGTCCCATCATGGGGATGCCTCCCCACACCATCACTGACCCACCACCAGAGATGTCAGTCTGAACAATGCTAAAGGCCGCATCCCATTCTCCAGAGCTTCTCCAGGGTCACGTGTGTCACTCAAGGTGAACATGCTCTCAATGGTGGACCGGCCAGTTCTGGTATTTGATGGCATACAGGGCTCTACGGTACCAGACGGTTCTACCCTCATGAAGTCTGTTTTGGGTCAGAAACATTCACACCAGTGGTCTGCTGGAGTTCATTTTGTCGCTCTGGTAGTGCACACCTTGTTCCTCCTTGCACAAAGGAACAGATACTAGTCCCAGTGATGGATTGAGGGCCTTCTACCACCCTGTCCAGCTCTCCTACTGTAAATGCCTGTCCCCCAGAACCTCCTTGTGGCAGTGTTGGGCAGCTGATGATATACTCTGATTAAAAAGTGTTGTTTTATTTTTTTTTGTAGAGCCTCATCCTTTTGTTTTCATCGAGTTATAACTAGCTACATTTGTGCATAAAGGATGACAAAAGGCAGAGTAAATACATGAAAAAGCTGAGTCAAAAATATTATTTCACTTTCATCTAACAAACTAACTTCCTTCTTAATGTCAGGTATCAAATTAACTGGTAATCTGGTAATTAGCATGAATGTCAATTGCAACTAACCTGAACTCTAACACAAGAATATTTGATTTTGTTTATACAATTTTGACAATCAGGGTGCAAATAACATAATAATTCCAACTGACACATTTTAAAACTGGTGGAGTGCAGCTAGCAGCGGTTAGCTCAATATATCCAGCACGGGGAGGCTGAGCTGTCTGAACAGGCTACAGCATGAACAAACAAGAAGACCCAGTTCTGAGAAATACCATAATTGGACAAGAGAATTTAAAGACCAATAGAGTGGAGGCCCTCTGCTGTCAATGAAAAATATGCTGTTGTTTGCTGACTGGTGCTTTTTTGTGCCACTTTTCCCTTTAGAGTCATCCTGTCAAACCTTTACTGGATGCGTGACAAAAACACACACGCAAGCTGTTTACATTCATTCAGTGATGCAAACCATTCCCCCTTTCCTCTGTTTGTCTCAGTCCTGCTGGGTCAGGTTAGGGAGGATTGATGGGTGTCTGGCCAGCGTTAGCTTAATGTAACAAGTCAGCAAAACAGTGGCTTGAGGCTACGATGCACTGGTGCACACTCATAAGCTCAGACACACACACACCAACAGTCCTACTACTTTAGAGCAGCCATTTTCTGTTGAGCATTTTGCAAGGAAAAAAAAGAGAGAGGAACAATCACTGACTGCAAGTTTTTCAAACTATTCTAACATTTTCAGCTGAGCTCTGGCTAACTGGTCAGCTGGATAGCACTTTGATATTTCAGCAAGAACTCTCTGCTCTGCTTCTATAAAGCATTTATGGTGCTCAATGGAAACAAGTCCACGATTGGGAGCAGGGCTGGCTTGTGTTTTAGCCACATGCTCAATAAACAAATATCAGTATCAGCTA